AACTACCTTAAGATGCAGGTATTAGACATCTACTTCTATATCTATTTACATGTATTATTAGTGCTAGCATATGAAGTATAAATGGTTTAAAATATAAAAATATAAAAATAAAAACTTGGTTAAAATCAAAGTTTTAGTTTAAAAGCAACAGTTTATTAGAAATAACAGAATTTTGCTGGATGTAAATGGCACTCAAAGATGTAGGGAGTGCAATTCCTTACCTACCCTTTAGAAGAAAGTTCGTGATATAAATAGTCCAGTTAGTGTCAACTTTCTTAGATTTAGCTTCACACATTTGATCAATGTATTATACAAGTAGAATATTACAATAATGGTTTGCTGTGGAATGCTTTTAGTTGACCACATTCAGATTAATCATATCAGATGATATAAAGGAAACAGTTAGGGAACATTATCTTTTTTATAATTGTTCTATTCCCTCTGTTCGTATTTGAATGAACAATTTTGAATTGTTCAGAGTTAAAGCCTGTGTCTGTTGATTGTTAATAGCTAAAACGATCGTTGATGCCGAAATGCAGATAAGGATGTTCATTGTTCAAAATAATTAGGAATCACTTGTCCTTTGCTGGCAGCCTGATCTTTTCGGAACTCCATTGTGTTTGCTGGTTGGAGTGACAAGATTTTGGTAGCCAATTACAAGACTTAAAGCTTCCATGGGATTTTAACAGATCATTGAGGCAACCAGTTGCTTTTAGAGCTTCCGTGGTTTTTGCCTGAAGCCATGGCAGCAATTTCAGGGGTGTTCGCCTTGTTAGGAGACTATTATCAAAATTTGGAGCTCCAATGTGATGCTATGAAGGTTAAGAAGGTAAAAAATAAAAAAATAATAAAAAAAATTATATACACCCGGTGCATGGTATATCTATGATTATTTTCTGCTTAATATTAACCTTGGATGCACCTACCTCTATGTGCACCTGAGTGTATAAAAAGGTTCTATTAGAATTGTTACAAGGAGTGATGCCAAGACACCAACACAACTTTTAGTTTTGTGTCTTTTTATTGTGTCTCAAAATAGAGACATCAAAAGGATTGGAAATATAGTTGCTCAAATAGAGATTAGTTGAGCCTGTGAACTCTTTTCAATTGATAGATCTTTATTGTGTTAATTTTGTTTTAATTTTTTAAATATAGCCCCTTAATCCTAACCTTTACCTCTATGAATTTTCCCCCAAATTTTCCTTAAAAGCACCAATTCTATATATATATATATATATATATATATATATATATATATATATATATATATATATATATATATATATATATATATATATATATATATATACTATCTCCGTTAACAATTATTTGCAACGATTTGACATAAAGTAGAGAGGAAAAATGTCCCATCGTTGCAAATAACCGTTAACGGAGGTAGTATATATATATATATATATATATATATATATATATATATATATATATATATATATATATATATATATATATATATATATATATATATATATATATATATATATATATATATATATATATAATGCATTGTAATGTCATACAATAAATTTGTAATAGTATACGCAATAATACAATACATGCATAGTTACTTAAGTCGTCCTTCCCTAACACCCTGAATTCTTTTGGATTGATAGATCTTGATTGTGTTATTGTGATTTATTATTGCATCAAAATGGGAAAATTATGGAAAATAAAATAAAATAAAGTGTGCTATATCCTTGTTCACAAACATGAGATGAGATGAAGCTTCATTCCATAATGAGGTTACAAATACATTTCTTATCTTGAGACTGTATGTAAATCTATAACTAATACTAAAACAACAACGGTTGATATCATCTATTTTTCCAAATTGTACACATGTCAGCTTCTCCTTCAATTTTTTTTTCTGCCTAAACTCTTTTTTTTCTCTTAGTAGATATAGCTAATCTTAAGGAAAGCAAATATTAACCCTGTATATATGTGATTACTCCATCTAATTACAAAGTCCACTAAATTTTGTTGTAGATACGAATTTTCTTTTGTTTATATTATTTTAATTTTTGTAGTTTGATTTATGTTAACACGAACTATTGGGTGCGGACGTCCGCACCCAATTGTTTATGCGGGCAGTGCGGCACAACTCTCCTTCTTATCTTCCTTTCTCTTTTTATCTCCTCTGCTCCTCTTTTTTCCAGATCAAAATCGAAATCAAAATCAGAAATTCACATCAATTGCATAACACATTCATAATTAATCCAAGGGGGTATTTGTTTCGAAATTTGCTATTGAATCGAAAGGGGGACATGGCGGAGAAGGAGGTGGCGGCGATGGCGGAGGAAAGAAATGCGATCCTTGAGGATGTGGTGGTTGGTGGGTTCGGTGGTTGGTGATTTGCGACTGGTTGGTTCGGTGGTTGGTGGTGCTATGGTTGGTGGGTTCGGTGATCGGCAGCTGGTGATGCGGTGGAGGAGGAAATTAGGGGGAAGTGAAGAATGAATGAAGGAGAAGGAGTGAGGGGATTTGTGAGGATTTGTCTAACTAACAGATTTGTCCCCATTCTCATGTGAAAGAGAGAGAAAGAAAGAGAGGAAGAGGGGAAAGAGGAGAGAGAAGGAAATAAAAATAGTGTATATAGATGTTAATCATATTAGACAACAAATGATGCATATCAGCCAATAAAAATATCATATTACTCAATTGATGTTTGATATCAGTCAATATTAGGGACATATCAAACATTAATAAAAACGTATCAGCCAACAAAAAGAACCTATCAGCCAACAAAAGATACATATCAGCCAACAAGAGAAATATATCAGCCAACGAAAGGTACTTATCAGCTAAGAGACGGAACATATCGACCAACTTATGAAGCATATCAGTCAACAAAAGGATGAAATCAGCAAACAAAAACAACAGGTAAGCCAACAAAATAAACATATAAGCTAACAAAATGAAACATATAAGCAAACATTAAAATATAGATATCAGCCAACAAAATAAATATATCAGCCAACTGAAGAAACATATGAGCCAAATGATGTCTGATATGAGCCAAAAAAAAAAATCTATCAGCCAATAAAAGGAATATATTAGCCAACACAAAAACCATATCAGCCAACAAATGAAACATATCAGTCAACACATGAAACATATCAGCCAACAAGTAAAATATATCAGCCAAGCCAGCCACACGGAAATTTGTGTGCGGCAATAGCTTCTCTTATGTTAATACCAAGATTTTACATATTTTGAGTGATAATATGACTTGAAAATGTGCACAATTATAAATTCTTTTTGCTATATCCGTGCATCGCACGGGAGCTAATCTAGTTATATAAACAATCAAACCAAAGTCAATATTGATTGGTGTTAAGTAAAAAACACAACACAAATAAAGTACAATAATATGGAGTAAAAAAAAAAAAAAAAAAAAAAAAAAAAATGCATAATGTATTGTTACGGTAATAAATTTGGGAATAATAATCAACCTCATAATAAAGTTGGTGATTGATTATTAAATTTGGGAATAGTAATCAACCTCATAATTAAGTTGGTGATTGATTATTAGAAATTTAGAATCATTTCTTGCAACTCGTCACTATCAATTAAACATAATCTTGAATAAATGAACTAAATTCATTCTCTTGACTTTATCCAAATTTTGTTATGGTTTCAAACCAGCTTATATGACGACAGGAGTAGGGCTACAAACGATGCGGGCCAAGTCGAGTTTCAGTCTGTTCGAGCTAAGCTTGATAAGAATTATTTGTGTTCGAACTATCTCGAGCTTTTAAAAATCTTGTTCGAGCTGGGCTTGTTAAGAATTTGGCTTGTTCGAGCTTCGTTCACAAATGTACTCGTTTGCATTTCGAGTTTAAGTTCGAGCTTGAACAGGATTAAATCGGGCTTGACTAAATAAACGAGCCCTAATTTGTTATTAAAAAATGTTTTCTTTTAAATTTTAACACAACGGAGTCTTCATGCCTTTACATGATGAAATAATTAGTACTTTTTTACAAATATGCATGAATAAAAGATATATAAATTGTCCAAGTTTTAATCGGATATTAAAAAAACTTATAAATGGACTTAAACGAGTTGTTCATGAACATTACCGAGTCGAACATGATGTTGTTCGAGCTTTGTTCATTTATTTGACGAGGTTAAGATTTTTGTTCAGGCTTGTTTGTTAGCTTAACAAACGAGTTTTGATCAAGCTTTAACTGAACTTGTTCGCAAGTAGTTCACGAACGCATTTATTTCAAATTTTGGAAAATTTTCCAAAAATTGAATTGAAAGTGTGGATTATAGCCTTTGGTTTTGGACAATTTTCAACTTTTTCGGACCCTAAAAGAAAAAGGTTGGGATGCTTCACATGGACCTCACAACATCTTAGGAGGCACTTTGGGTGGTTGAAATCATCCACTTTGCCTTTAAATTGTCAATTTAGCCATTAACAACTTACGCCTCCCTTCATTCCTCATCATGGGACTTTGTGTGACATATTATTGGTCATTTATATATTGTTCCAAAGAACATTAGTCAATTTAGTTGTTTATGTATATGCCTCCTTTCATTGGCTCAAAGGCCACCACATGCATATGTGTAACCGACTAATGTTCGTATATAGTTCTTAACAACATTTTATGAACCCAGGATGCATCCCCTACACTCCCAATTTTTGACATCGGATACTAAAACCTCCAAATTGGTCTATTTATGTGAGAGAGAATTCTTACCGGTTACCATTAGACCAAGTAGGACTACTTAGTGCATACAGGCAAACTAGGTAACACTCTACATGCCAAAAAATAGTTGACTTCGTTTTTTCTATTTAATATCCTTTTAATTAAATTTGGCACAAATTTGCAACTTACGAAGAACTAAAGCAACCACCTCAATAAAACAAGTGAGAATCAATGTTTAATCTACCCTCTTCATGCCCATTATTCACCTCTAACACAGAAGAGCTAATCTGTATTGATTTCTCTTTTGACAGTCAAATTTAAATTAAGAATATCTCAAAAATTATAATGATAAAATATACGAGTACTACGTCTAACGAAAGCATTTCAGCAACGGAGTACAAATCTAGCAATATAACTATGGCTATACTGCTATTAAGTTTGATAAGCAAGATAAGTTATTGGATGAATCTAACAAACAGAAAACCAACTGTTATAAATTTTCTGTCACATTGTTTTAGAAAACATCAGATCATCCTCTTACCATCACTCTCAAACAGAAGAAATTGGCCTAGTCCTGCGGTAAATACTTTGTAAGCTCCTATATTTTTGTCTCTTCATCACACCTCCAGGACAGCCGTTCTTTTGAATTGTAGGTACAACACTTCCCCTTTCTTCCTGATAAACATAATACTGACTCTTCCGCTTGTTGAATGGAAGTAGCTTCTCTGTAATAAAGTCACAGAAAATTTTGTGAACGTCAACATGAATGAATTCAGTATGCTTCATCCACCGAGAAAATCATGAAAAAAAAAAAAAAACTATTTTCTAAGCCAATGTATTGGTTTAAAAATAAATGTTTCAGAAATATGAAGCTAAATAGATGATTCCCATTTCCTTGCCATTGTAATCTCATTCAGAGCCTTCAGTAACTATTTTTAAAGGATAGAACTACTCCATACAACATATTATCCCATTAACATATTACAGATTCAACCACATTAGATTAATTTTTCACTTAATTTTTGAGGGGGATATTCTGCCACACTATATAAGTAGATAATGCATGTTTTCTTCCTCGTTTAATTTAATCAGAATTTCTCAAATTTTCAACAAACACCAAATTAAAATTTATGCTTTTGGGCTAATAAATCCAGCTAAAATGGATTTGTAAAATTGATAGCAAAATAAAATATCTAGTCATCGATTATGAGATTTTGCTAGGAGATATAATCAAAGGCTGATCTCAAATCAAAAGTTGGAAATCAAAGATTACCATCTAAATAGATCAACATGCATAACAAGGTATCTATATTAACAGTAAAACCGGCATACCTGAATAAGAAGAAACCTTAGAATTTGATGCATTGACTGTGAGCTCATGAGAGTTAAGCTTCCTATCAAAAATAACACAATGACTAAATTATTTGTCTCTTTATGGTGGATAGATAAGATCTTAACGTTTAAGTTCTCATCTTCAACCTTGCCGTTTCACATAAAGGTAAGAGAGAGTAGAACTTACTTGAGTACATCAACGGAATCCTCTGAGATGTTTAACTGTTGGTTACAGGCTGGGGGAAGGTTAAGATCGGGGATAAGACCCTGGGGCGGCCTCTCTGGCTCCCCTCCTTCTGTCACAGTGCTGTGGTTATGAAGGATCAGCTTTTGACACTTTAACTGCATTTTGTACATCATTCTGTGACAATTAGTCAAGAAGGCAAGGGTGGCTAAACAAAATTAAAAATTTGCCTGCTCTATAACTCAGACTATGACACAAGCATGGACGCTTAACACTTCATTTTGGACAAAACACATGCAGTAATTATATAGAATGGTCAATTCCTAGTAACATAATTTATATATAAATTTTTTTTTTTTTTTTTTTCTCCTTTGAATCCAATCTATTCTGTATCATAATAATTTGAGAAATGTGAACGGAAGAATCAAGCAGCTGATATACTTCCATATCTAGCAGGCATATCTTTGATATGCAAATCAGGAGATAGCTTCTGCATAAGGAAATAATCCTTAAATGTGATTTTTTTTTTTTTTTCTTAATTTTTTTTCCCCCACTGCTTTTTGACAGGATAATTTTCCAAAACATGGCTATTAATTATTATAATCAAACTAAATAAAATTTACTTATAAACATACTAGGCTGATTTTGCAATGTCCACATGTAATTCTTGGTTCAAATTTGAAAGAGTAAGAGATTCATCCATTCTTAGACGTTGAAACATAATAGACCAAATTAAAAGATTCATTATATTTTTTATGTTTCCTAACAGAATTCTGAAAATAAATGTACACTTACTGTGTGCATAAAACTAAGGAACAACTAGAACAACCTCTGTTAATGCAAGGGTATAGTCGTAGACCTGCGTACAACCAAACCCGCACCCCCCCCCCCCCCCTTCTCTCTCTCTCTCTCTCTCTCTCAAGGAAGAAGAAGATGGACATTTGTATTAGAAACTGGAAATTACAGAAAGTAAAAGATAATACAAGCTTTCGAGAGGCTTGTTCTCTCCCAAAACATAAACAAAGCTAACAGAAACACTCAATAATATCCATTGTGATTTTTTCTTGCTAATCTCTTTATATATTATCATAAACTAATGGATTTCTTTCCTCTTCAAGCAACTAATTGTGCAATAAATGGGTAGCCTAACTAAGCTTTATTAGTTTCTTCTTACAGCTAATTGTGCATCGCTTACATCACCCCTCACCAATAAGCCAAACTATTACACAGTTCCATTGAATCAAATATTTATTATTTTGCCTACTATATTTTGGCAAAACTAAGTTAAGAAAATTCTAACAGAAGTAGAATACCTTTGTTCATGCAGGTAGTACACCAGGATCGAGTGGCAACGTCTCTCTTTCACAAATTTCATCTCCGTTTAACTTAATCCCACTCTTATTCTCTGTTTTCTGTCCAATTCTACTATCTGATCCGAATAGACTGAGTAAATCAGAGGAATTTATACTGCACACAAAAAGATAAATACTGATATTTATGTTATTTAACAAATTTTGAAGACATAAAACCTTACATATATGAGAAACAGAGAATAGGCTTGCATACAAAAAACAGAGGATGAGCTTACATAAGAAAAACAGAGGATGAGAGCATATTACCCCATGGTGAAAATACTTTTATATTTAAGAGGAAACTAAAATTATCAGTAACTAAGTAAATAAGAAACCAAACAGGCAAACAGTACTGCTTTTGCTGTCAAAAAAATCACATCAGAGTAACAAATCATTAATCGTGCATACATAAGATCTTGGCTCAATATTTCGAGTTCAATCAATTTTTCTGGTTTTTATTCCCTTCTCCATAAGCAGCACAGTATATATCAAATGTCAAGCAATCAATGTAAATGTAAATGTACAGAAAAAATTGTAAATTATGAGGTACAACAAATTAAGCGTCATTAAAAAAATCAGATCAGATCTCTTTCGCAACAAAGTGATCAAACTACACTTACAAATCACCATTAAAACCAACACTCCTGCACATATGATTGAGAATTCTTTAATTAAAGTAGTATTATAATTACACTTCCACTGATCTCATTTTTAAAAAGACCTCGGAAGGCAAGGGGTCTAAAGAAAAATCTCTGCAATGGTCCATTTCCTCTGTATCATGCTGACAGGGAAATGGATGCAGAGACCTGCAAAAAAGTAGAAAGAACTAAAATTTAACTACCCTTTCCTATACTGATCTGAAGACTAACACTGACAAGGAAACTTATTCGTTGTAGGATTTGAACCAGTAAATGGCGCCGTCCTCAAACTGGTCGGCAAGAAAGCTTGTGCAGGCCTCTTTGCTGCTTCATTCAACTGGTTTGAATCTGAAATATTTTGTGAAAATGAAGCAAGCAGTTTTCTTGGATGACTTCTTTCCCTTGTGCGAATCATTCCTTGGTGGTACTGCAGAGTGAAGAAAGAACCCACGGCACAATGAATGAGAATAAAAATAACTAAGACCGACAAAATTCTTCGAGCAATTTTCATAGTTTTTCACTTTTTCAGTTCAGAAGAAATAGCAAGCTACATGTATCAAATGAAATGTGATTTTTCTCAGGTTCTGCCTTCAAGGTGAGGAATATAGCCATGTAACTTTCTGACATGAGGTCTATGCCTGACCAAGAAACATTGGCAGGATATTAAAAAAAAAATTTAAAATTAGAAGCCACTTCAGTATTTTAATAACCATTTATCCATGTAAAATATACACTGCAGATACGGGCAAAGTATTTGGTTATGCTTCCTGTTCCACAAAAAACCAACCAGGTCAAGAAACTCAAGATATTAGATACACACATTATTATAATCGCGACACCTACTCATTTAACTAAAGATTTTTTTAACTCCTCAATTTCCACCCACTCCGTACATAGAAAGATGCAGCACTAGCAACTAAGGTGTAACGACTAATTTACAAGTTAAACAGAATGATACAGATGCAACTTAGTTCAAACAGAAATATACAGCAGTTAAGATTTTACAGTTTTACAAGCTTGTTCTGAAACTCAGGTCCGGTAAATATCAAAGTTTATAAAGCATCATCATAAGATCATTCCTTAAAATTTTGTAGGATTCAGAGCTCAGAAGCTGCTAATCATGTGATAATGAATTGACAGGCATTATATATGTTTGATTGCCTGAATTTTCAAAATTTTAAACAGACATGCCTCATGTGACTGACCACATGACATTAGTCAGTTCTCTCAGTTTTGTGTCCCCTTTGCCATATTTAAATGCTTAATCTCTTCCAGTATCTCTTAAGAACATCATAAACAGCCAAGGTTAGCTGGGAAAGCACGCTTCTACAGAAGAGTAACAAATTCTTAACTGTAGTTTCTGACTGCTGTTTTCCAATGTTCTGTCTTCAGAGAAGAAAAAAGAAAAATGAATAATCTCCATAGTCCATACCCCCAAAAATAATATTCCCTCCGTCAAAAACAGCCGAATAATACTAAGTATAACGGAGAACCCTTTATAGTTCTCCAACCAAACCAAAGCCTCTAAGTCTCTTTCATTCTCACAGTAGCTGGTATAAGCATGTTAATGAGGGAGTGGATCAGATATTCATCTGTACTACATGATTAATCCCATTTATTCATTTAAAAGCTCCTTTTCTATTTCTTTATTCATGCTACTTGAAGGCAAGAGCAATAGGCACCCCCGTGCACCCATACCAGCAAGAGCTTGTGGTTCGTCTCTCAAAATAAGTAAAAACAACTGGCAATGGGGTCTCCGTACAGCACAGTCCAGACATTATGACAAAACTCATCATGGATTTAAATGAAAAGTTTTGCAGATATAGTAGCAAGACATTATGGGAGTAAAATACACATCAACATGTGAACAAATTATAAAATATTCCGTTAACAAAAAATTCAGTACAAGACAACTACAACTACGCTTTTGAAGTTGAGTTTTGACTGTTAATTTCTTTCTTATACAATGAATCATGATACCAAAAATAGATTTATACAATTATTATAAGGTACTTTCATAGCTTTGTCATCCAATATATCTTAAGTAATACAAAAAACTAAAATTCAAGCTTGAAGAATATGGGAGCCTTATAATATATGTGAGAAAAATATATATTTTTCATCACTCCCATACTTTGTTGCCATAATATAAACCAACATGTTTTATTATGAGCATGACTTTGACTAGTCCTAGTGCAATACCAAATTCTATGTAAATTAAATGGTGCAAGAAAGCTCCTTAAGTAATTTTATTTGATCTATTACATTAATTACATTAGATATAACTACTGTAATATTTACTGAACTACTGCAACAATTATGTTTTACACTGTCATAGGCAACCAAGTAGAAGTAAACTTGCACAAAACCTCTTTCCACTTTGAGACTTCTGATCCCATCCATCAACCTGGAACCATGTAATACCAGATATTGTCACCAGATCCGCTAACAATGTTTACCATGAATCACCACAATACATAGTTTCAGGAAGTATAAGACATTTCCCTTTTTTTTTCCCCTGTTTTTGTCCCCTTTTTATCACTTTTGTAGGGATGGCCATTTCAAAAAGCTAAAGAGCTATGTCTCAGATAATGAAAACTGTAGGTGTATGATGTACGGGAAAATTTAAGAGTTAGATCAACGGGGAAATACAAAATTCATTAAATGTTGCTTTTATCTAAGAATCTAACAAAACTGGACTAAAATCAAATTGTCTAGCAAAACAATGTATCAACTGCTCCTGAATCACTTCTTCAGCAGGAAGTTCCATATTTGTCTCTCTTTTTAAGGATGTAACTTCCTTATCTGAAATCCCACAGGGGACGATATGTTTGAAATAGTTCATATCAGGATCAATGTTGAATGCCAAACCATGAGATGTAATCCCAGATTGAATACGAACACCAATTGCACCAATCTTTCTATCTTCGACCCAAACCCCAGTTTCACCTTTGTGTCCAGGGTGAGCTTCGACTCCATACATGGATGCAAGATCAATCATCGTTTGCTCAAGTTTTTCCACATAACTCCGAGCACCAACTCCAATATCACGAAGAGATATGATCGGATATAATATGACTTGATGTGGACCATGAAATGTTATGTCCCCTCCCCTTTGAGTGTAATGTAGCTCAGCTCCCATATGTACCAACTCAGGCTCGGGAACTAGCAAATTATGATCTGTTCTACGCTTTCCGAGTGTATATGTAGGAGGATGTTGCAATGAAAGAAGAGTATTTGTTATCTTTTGAGCTTTTCTATCAGAAACCAACTTCTCCTGCAGCTTAAGTGCATTCAAGTAATTAACAGTGCCCAGCTTCCACACTTCAAGACACCGGCGAACTCCCATTCCCTGTGAAACAAAGACAAATTTAAATCCCATTAACCTTAAGCCGATTAATGTGGAATTTGACATAGAACATCCTGTAAACATAGAACTTAAAATCCCAAATTCATCACTCCTGGCATTCCAGTATAAATCGGTTAGAATTTCCGATACCAAGGATATACTACCGGTAAATCTGTACAATACCAATGAAACACTACTGGTTGAAATTTTCGAATTCCAATACCAACTACTGCAAGAAACCTATGATAGTGCTCATCAAATTGAAATTTTGAAACAACATTCAACAATTAAGCAACAAAAAAGACTAAATTTAATGAAATCATACACAAATAGCTTACCTTAACAATGGGGAGTATTTGGTTAGAAATGAAGTAGAGAATTTTGTTTCCAAAATATAAATTAATCATGGATTTTCTATCATCCCAACTACTAATTCAAGATCAAACAACCTTCTTTGTCATCTCATAAACAACAAATTAGCGCAATTTATAAGAACCCTAAGATTCAATAACCCAGAAACATATGACATTTACTTAATAAATTATGGTTTTTTTTTTTCCTAAATCGACCTAAATTCCATATAATTTCTTCCATGAGAAAAAATTGAGCCTTAAAATCTGAGAAAACAAAATTGAGTAGAAATGGAAAAATCAACCTGAATTCTAAAGAAAATAAGACACCCATTGACTACCTTAAAAAAAGAAACTTTGGAATTCGATAATTTGGTACTTCTTGCCGCCAACAAACCAAACTATTGACTTCAAATCTTCATTTTGGAGGAATGCAAATCATGGAAACTAAGAATGCAAATTATAATGGTGAAAGAAATATTGATGATCGCAATATGGTGGATGAATGGTCAATGGTTGCCGGAGAGTAAATGCACAATATCATAACATAATCTAGTTGGACTGGGTTTGGTTTGGTTTCATTCGTATTGTGTCATATGAAGTTCGGGTTTCGCTCGATAATTTCAGGACTGCTAAAACTGTCGATTTTTATTTGGGTGTAAAAGGTTGATCTGACCTCTTAAATCCAGATATTGCAAATGTTAGGCCCTGCTCAACTGAAATTATTTTTGCTGAATTTAAATTTTTTTACAGAATTGAAATTAATTTTACTTAACTGAAATTATTTTTGCTGAAGTGAAATTATCTTTTTTTACTGATATTCTATTATATTTTTTTTCTTTTGAAATTATTTTTACTTAATATTATTTTTTAAAGGTGAAGTGAACAGGGCCTTACTTGTATTCTCTATTTTAATTTTCAAAGAACGCAATTAAGAGAAAGTTGTAAAGTGTATAAAATGATTTTAATGTCTTAAACATAAATTTGTGTTATTGTGTCAAATAAGAATTATAAATTCTCAAGTTTGATTAACACGGATAGATGTAGCTAAGCAAAATAGTGTGCCCTAATTCAAGCACACATGTTACATATAACACACTTTTGACATCTTTTACACAACCACATCGCAATAACACAAGTGATCATATAATCTTTATTCAATAGATACTTCTATCTGGAATTGATTGCCATGACTTGTGACATAACAAATCCTCATATATAAAAAATTATAATTATTATCAATTAAAAAATGTTAGGTGTTGGCACATTGGAACTCCTAGTCATAAACCAATACAAAATTAGGAAAGGCAACAATTTCTCATCATCCTAAAAAAACACATTGTAGTATTGTACCATTAGAAGAGGAGGGGGGGGAACGGGGAGAAGGAGAAGGAGAGTATCCGCGAAAGTTAACAAAGGCAGAAAACTAAATTGGAATGTAATTGTAAACTATTGTAAAGCAATATTGCTGAGGATATTACAATGACTATCACAACAACAAAGGTGTGCAATTTTCTCAACTGCAAATCATATTTCAGGTTGTAAAAGAAAAGGAAAAAAGCTAAGCAACTAAGATATAGAAAATTTTATCTAATATATAGAGAAAATAAAGAACACGACTACTATTTATGTACAGAATGTAACCCTGCACTCTCCTGCATAAACTCGTCATTTCACGGTGAGACTTTCAGCCAATCAAGAAGAACAGGAGAGCATACAGACACCAGGTCGATAAGCCCAAGCTGGAGGTAAGCGAGCATATTTCTCCATCCCGGGTTGCTCATCATACGGGTGTTCCATGACTTTTAGCAGCCTGCGTACCTCTTCAAAGTCCCCTTGCTCTGCTGCATCAATGGCACTTTGGCATAAATAATTCCGCAGGATATACTTTGGATTGACAGAATCCATAGCAACCTTCCTCTCCTCGTCAGGAACTCCACTAGAAACCAGCTGAGAGGGAGACAGAGAACATCTAATCAATACATAAATCCACTATGTCCTAAGTAGGGACTAGGCATACGTACTATATACAAAGATAATACCATAAAACCTTAGACTTGGTTGTTAGCTACACGGCAAAGAAATAGAATTACAATTCATGCTCCTCAAAATAAGGATCAAAAAGTAGAAGCAGCATAACACTGTATCCTATCTAAGTAAGTCAGGGGTAGCAGTTATGGAGGAGGGTACAAACTACAAAGTGTCCATCCTGAGACTGAGTCCAGGATGTGGAGGGCAATAGTATAGCACAATTACCACTTGGCCATCCACGGTTGTCACACCCAGATATGTACAATTTTTTATATTTAGAAATATCAACGTTAACGAAATCAGAAATGCAGATTTACAGTGAAAAAGGAAACCATGCCAGGACTGGAATGTGGAAGCCAGTGGTATCACCACTTCAGCCGATCATGCTTGCCTCCCTCCCCACTCTCACCCCCACCCCCACCACCACCGCCGCCCCCCCCCCCCCCAAACCACCCAAAAAATGATCAATAACATGATTTAGATCTATGAGTATGACAAAAGAGATTCAGAAGATAAAGGAACAAGATAGAAAATGCAGTAGTGTGGAATCAATACCTCCTGCGTATAGCATTTCATCCAGCTGGTCCATGCCTCCCTGCGTTCCTGACCAATATCTAGCAGAACAGCCTTCAGGGGGGTCAATATTTGGGTGTCTGGAATGCTAGGGTCAGCTTTTACATTGGAAAGTAGCCGAAAGAAGTTTGTGTAATCAACTTTATCAACAGCCATGTTGTTGAGAAGTTTGCTGATCAAATCTTTGTTGTACTTGGACAGTCCAAGTTTTTTGATCATGATAGCTTGATAGTAATCCATGAATTTAGTTCCATATCTGCCGAAAATTATTTATACACAATATTCCTCAGTTAGTTTAGCCACCACCATAGCAGTGTTCAGAGTACAATCGCAAAACAAAAAGTACCTTTCCATGACGTAATTAGCCTCATTGTCCTGAAGCAAATTAGCTGCTTGTAAGGTAGCAGCAAACTGTGCAATGTTCCACAAGCCTATATCAGGCTGATTTGCAAAGCAATATCTTCGACCAGGAAGATCAGTTGTGTTTGGTGTATAACTTGGATCAAAAGCATCTAAGAAACCGAAGGGGCCATAATCAATTGTAAGACCCAATATGCTCATATTGTCAGTGTTCAGCACACCATGTGTGAAACCAACCCCCTGCCAGCCAGCAACCAATGAAGCAGTACGCTCAGCAACTTCAACTGCCCAAGCTGAATCCACTCAAAGAAAAAGGAACAGGCAAAAAATATCAGTTTCCTTTTTAAAACATCAGCATTTTTATTTTTATTTTTATTTTTGCTGTATAAGGATTTTGCATGGTTGAGCTTCTGCATAGAGGTTCGATCATCTAAATAACTAAATCCCAAAGAGTAAGAAAAACTATGGCAGCATCAAGCATGAGATTCACAGAGTAATGGTAAAATTATTGCAAGAATAAAGCTTCTCAATAAGTCAGTTCAACAAAATTCAATGGAAAAGGGAAATAACAGTATCATTTGTACTTTTCGGGCAGAAGAAATAATTATTCTAGAGTCATAAGACATAAGATTCTTCAATGAAATTCTTGCATATTCGTCAAACAGGAGGATAACTACAGAAAAACAACAATAATACCATAATTTAACAAGACATTGCACATATATCGATGTGTGAGCTATCATCATATTAGTCTGTCATGAGGTATTAAAGATGGAACAACATGCACAAGAAGCACCACACCACAGCCCATATAAGCAGTAGTTTAAAAAGCCTGGCCAAGATAGCTATTATTAACCTAGCCTGGCTAACAAAGGCATGTTTTTCATTAACTAGAACAAAGATGCACCAGAACAAATTCCAACCTGCATATTTATTAGAGCTGAGATCCACAACAGACTGGTCATCAAAGCCTGTGTTAAAAGATAAACTTTCACTCTTATTCATATTCTCGATATGGGGGAAGTGATGCTTGATAGCATAATCCGCAAGACGCCGAACGATATCAAGATCTTCTTTCCCTCTAGCAGCATGTAACTGGTATGAACCGAAACGCAAAAAGGAAGGAGCAACTCTACAAACAATTGCACCAGGTTCTTCCTTTGGATTGCCACTGCATACAGCAGAGATTGATCATAATCAGACAATGAATTAATAGTCAGAATCGGGCCTACCAGCCATCTCCTAGCCCATAATGCAAATTTGAAGAACATGGGCAAGAAAGAAATAAGAATTGGATATAGAGACCATAATAACTATCAAAATAAAAGCATTATGAGCTGCTTGAAGAGCACAATTTAGACAAGGAAAACTTTCCATAAGAAACAGAATACTCTGGCTGATATACTATTGAAAAACTTTAATAAAACCAGGGGCATTGGTATGAAAATGGATGTCATGAATATGGTTGGCGAGCACATACTCGTAAAACATATCTCGGACGACAAATTTCCCAGTGGTTACAAGACAAAGGGCACGTGTTGTGGGGATTCCAAGGCTATGCATTGCTTCACTGCAAAGGAATTCCCGAACGCTACTACGAAGAACGGCCAGCCCGTCTGCAAAGCGGCTATATGGGGTCTTGCCCGCGCCTTTCAGTTGTAATTCCCACCTTTCTTTCTTTGAATTCACAAGCTCGCCCAATGTAATTGCCCGACCATCACCCAACTGACCAGCCCACGTGCCAAACTGATGGCCACCATAGCATTGAGCATATGGCAATCTGTAAAGATATTTCATCAGGGAGAATGCAAACAGCCCGAGATAAAAGAGTTTCAACCATAAAGGATATCCACAAGAAATTAAAACTCAACTTAAGTAGCTGACTTACGATCCAAAAAATGGGGACGCCCCAGAAAATATTAGCGGAAAATCAGGACGCTCAAACCTGATCAACACAACAAGAGATCAAAAAATAAGCATGAGAAATAAGTACTTTTAGCAACAGTTGAAATAGCGAGAGAAAAAAAATCTTTCGTAACTCAGTCAATTGGTTAGGTCAAATGAAGAAAATGTATATAAAGAGTCTATCCCCACAGAATGGGTAGGTGCATTTAAACAGATATGATATCAAGGCCAATTACCAAATATATGCACTATGCTTACTTCATATAGCGGGGTAAATAAACACTCACTCTTTAGGATCTAGCTCAAGAGATTCGGCAACTGATTCAGACAATGCAACAAGTTGTGGATTATCCACCTCTACAGAGGGTGAAACCTTTGTATAGCAAGCATGAAAGACCTGAAAGGAAACAGTGCGAGCCATAAGACACATACACACAACAACAACAACACAACAATATTAAGATCAATGCACAATGTAGGTTTACTTAAAGTCAGAAAAAATATGAAAGCTTGTAAACAGGCCACCCAATTCTTTCATCTCACATGAGCTCTTTTCTATTTAATAATAATTATTAAACATGCTTCACCACATTAAAAATATTACTTGTTCATTGTTGTCAAGAACACAATAGACTGTTTCCACCTATTATATTTCCACCTTAAGTATAATATCCAGTTCTAGAGAACCATGTAATATCCATAGAAATGTGTTGTCACGGTTTATCTTTCTACATAAATCCACAAAAACTTCCTTCATGGTAATACAACATTAGCTAGTTTACCACTTTCCAAGCTCCTTTTACAAGAATAGCCCATTTATTGAGCTGATTTCTAACATCACTTCATGTCCCTAGGAATGGTTGCAATCCATACTATATCATAGTAGTATTCAGGAGCACTAACTAGTCCCTCAATTAGCTCAATAGCAAAGAGCGTCAACACTAAAAGCAATTTATCTACCCTATATCCATCCTCCAATGAAACTCCCAACAACAACAACAAAAAGAAAGGAAAAAAAAAACCCCCACAAGGTCAGAAACAAGATGGGTGAGTGATCAGCTTAATTGCAAACTCCAAAGTTTGATGGTATATCAAGTCGGATATTAATTTCACAAAAGGACATTTCAAGACGTGACTTGATCACAACATGATCACTTCTTTTTTTTTTTTTTTTTTTTTTGAAGGAACTTCCCCACTCTTAAAAAGTACAAAACACCTACAACTTCCCGCTCCAAACTTGTTCTCAATTCCCAAATTCCCGCAATCTAAGTTGCACCTCTTCATTTCTTCAAGTTGCAAAGGCTCGAGTAAACCCAATTAGGTCCAAAATCTAAACCCATTACTATCTTTGTGGCAGGTTTTGATACACTCAAACCCAAATGCCGCAAAGGTATTAATGTAAACGGGATTCGATCACAAGTCTTGGTTATCGACCCACAATTATACCAACTAAGCTAGCTCACATCCACAACTAACGTTCTCAACTATCTATTAATCTCATTTCTACAAAACTCCATTCAATTCCTTCAACACACTCCATTCAACAAATTCAACAACAACCCAAATCAAACACACTTAAAGTTTGTCCAAAATACGTCAACCCCACATCATCAAGAAACTTCAAATGCCCAAAATTTCAATCAAACAAGCAAAATAAATATAAAAACAAAATTGAAACAATCCCTTGAAAAATGAAACTAGATTAGAGAAGGAAAAAAAACCTGGCGAGGGATATTATCAACCCTAGAATCAGCCGGCAATTCCCGGACAAAAGAATGATCCCAATTAAGCTCTTCAAGCTTCAATTTGGTCCGATTACTATCATGGGTCAGCTTCTGATTCTTCAAATCTTGAGTAACCTGTTCAATGGAAGAACTCTGTTGAGAATCCATGACTGAAAAGCTTTTGATGGGGTTGTTGGGATGGCGGCGGAGAGGGCGGAGGAGGGAGCGACGAAGAGGGGCGAGAGAGGAGAGAGAAAGGGCGGAAGAAGAGGCAGAGGAGAGAGAAGAAGAGTGAAGAAGAGAGAAATGGGAAAGCAGCATTTCATATGAATCGGTGATTACTACCCACCCCCTTAAACGTCGCACAAAGATGAGAGTTTTGGGAAAAAAGGGTGTTGGTTTTCGGTTATGATGATGATTATTCACGGGGAAGGTGCAAATTTTGGGGAAGTTTGTGGAGGGGTGTGTGATCCATGGTTGATTGGTTGGGGTGTGTCGAATTTTGGGCATGTTCGGATTGAGATTTTTGTGAGTTGGAGAGGTGTAATAATTCGTATTTGATACGTTGTGGTGATTGACAGTGCTGCAGTGGAACAGTTTGAATTTGAATAATTGTTTATGTACCTCTCTGCACAGCTAAAACTTAACATCCGATAATCCAATTTGCATATATTTGACATTACTTTTGGATCAATTACCGCATATATCTAATTGTCTATCATCGTCAATTATATCACACATAAAATCACACCTCATTATAATCCATAATATACTTCTATTCGTTTATTTTACACATGCTGTAAAAGAGTTGAATGTAATAATTGACCATATATAACACATTTTTTATTTGTTGATGCATGCATTGAAAAACTTTGCATTGTTGCTCCTATTATTATCATTGATAACCAAATATGCTTAACTGTGATTTAATGCAAAGCAAATCAATGGCCATAAAATACTTAAAATGCCTACATTTAAAGAGAAAAATGACACTCTTATCTTCCGATTCTCCTTCAAGGTCCCTCACGTCCTTTTGCTCTCTGAAAAGTTCAAACATATCCACCCTCACCACTAGCCAAGAAACCACCTCTTGGTGTCGCTCCCAATAACCACATCCCCCAACCATGGCTAAAACTGCCCTCCAAACATCGCCATTTATAAGTTCATAACTTAGCCCTAAAAAGGCTTCAAACAATATTCAAAGTCTTAATTGACATATACGTGAGCTATTATATGATTTTATTATGTCATTGAGATCCTCTTCCAGTCCACCATGTATTTTTTTTTTCCCACCAAGCCATAAATGACGATTATTCCAAGGTTGTGGTTAGAAAATCTGCAATTCATTATTTCTAATTTTGAATTTCAAGCATGGGAATTGAAATTCCTGCATTCAATTTTAAGAATTCACGTGTGGGAAAAATATCATCTCAAAACCCATAATATCAAATATACCAACTTGTTTGGAAAGACTGTATTTGTGAAGGTTAGCGGTTACTTGAATTTACAAAGAAAATTTTTAAATTATCGTAAAACTCGTGGCTGATTGCGTACGCTCATGACAAATCCCATGAGTGGAAGGACAAATCACCGCTTGAGAAGAAATGATATAGCCATGGCGAAAGTGGAGAACACTCCTTCTTACCTAACGCCTATAGCAACTCAAAATCATATAAGTCATACTATCACAACTTTAGAAGTATGTTAATCTACCTAAGAGATGAGATTGAGTACCAAGTATAGAACATTTGCAAAGAAAAAAAATCCAATCCATGATATTAATGTATAGGTTTTGTTGCTGAATTATCTGATTAAGATTGAAGTGAAGGAAGAAAATCCAAAAAATTCGCAAAATCCTTACTGATTTTGCATGTACTGCACACAATCGCGAAACCCCAATGATTTTGGATGGACAACTTCTGATATTACTCACAAATACAGGGTTTTTTTTTACATTGGTGGAGAACGTATTGCCTACCAGATCCTTTATCGACTCAAAACCATATCTATCGTAATATTAGAAGTCTAAACATCTATTCTCCTCAAGATGAGATTAATAAGTACACCAACTATATCTTTATTCTTTGAAAACCTAACCTTGTACTACATGTAGAGAAAAGGAAAAAAAAAAGTGTTGCTCTCATAAAACTTTCCATTAGCCTAGGCAAAGGAAGTTTTCGTTAACACATCTAAAATTACTCGTAGTTTTTGGGTTTTGGTTCTCTACACCCAACAAACTAGAGAAAAACATCAAAGCGGAACTCAAAATTTTTATCAACTAAAAAAAATGAAAAAAAAAGAGTTAACTAAAAATGTTTCAAGTCCGCGTTTCTTCTCAACCCTTCAACACCACCGCATTCTCTCTCTTTCTCTCTCCTCATTCAACCCTAATTCGCATCAATTTCTTTCTCCAATTCCATTTTCCCCTCTTTTTTCACCTGATCTTCATCCCTAAATCCCAACTTTTCATGTTTTTCACTTTTAGATCGATTTCCGATCTTTTCCCCCTTTTTTCTGACTTGATCTGGGGTTGTCATTTTGTGGGGTGTTTCTGCTGTTCGACTGAAAAATTCGGGTTGATTTGAAGGAGTGGTTATGGATTACGATCTTTCCGACAGCAGTGGTGAGATACTTAAATTTTGATCTTTTCTTTGTTGTGTGAATTTTAGCGACTTTTTTTTTTCAAGATTTGATTTTTGTTGAATTGTGTTAGGGTTTTCTTTGAAATGTTCCTGAACTATTGACTGGTTGATTGAACTGTTACATCAACATTTTCTGGGAATTTTGGTGTAGTTTTGTGATTCGAATTAGGTTTTAATTCCATTAGATTACTATTAAAATCATTGGATAGGTTGGGGTTTAACTTGCAATTCCCAATCTTGATGATAATTTTGCTACTGTGAATGAATTTTCAAGTTTTTTGGATTACTGGGAACTAGGAGACTGTTTGAGAGCTTAGAAATGGCAAAATTATGATTATTTCGAAGTTCAGTAGCTTTATGATGAATTGTAGTATTTTTTTTGGGTACATCGTAAGTTTCAGTAATTTCAAGCAGTGTCAAAAAGCTGGATCAATGGTGTTATCACATTCAAATGAATTTGGTTTGATCAAGAATTATTTTTTTATGTGAAAGTTATCATTAGGGTGCTTTATTTAATTACATGTTTAATCCTGTACTGTATGATACCTGTTATTCCCAGGACTCCAGGAGCTATCTATGTTGGGATTGGGGAATGGGGAATTCACCCTTTTCACATCATTAATCTCTTTTGTAGATTCTCTATGATAGGGTTATGTTACTCTGCCTTGGTTACTAGTGTGACAGTGTCCAGCACGGGTTATGCGCATATGTCCAATTGACTTGTCCAATTAATAAGTTTGGCAGTTTGTTGGCCAAATTAAAGTTTCAAGAGTCTATGAAAAAGTGAACTGTCCGAGTAACGTTTATTATGAATTTTGGGGTGGGTAACTAAGTTTTGTTTTTCCTTTCTATCTGGACGTTAGCGTTACTGGTGCTAGCATTGGTCATCTCAGTGTATTTGCTGGTGATTTCCAGTCATGTTATTGGATTGCTTATGACAAGGGAAATGCCTATTTAGAAGTTGGCATGTATCATCTTCTCATTTGGCCACTCACTTAGGGTTTTTTTTTTTTTTTTCGGTGTTAGTTCTCAACAATTAATCAAAAGTGAGCGTCAAACCTTTCCATACTTAATTATGTAGGCTGGAGTCACGTCTGTTACATTGTTATACTTGGATCTGTAATCTTCATGCTTGATTTTTTAATCCTGTGATATTTCTTATATTCATTGTAGTTGTTTCAATTTGTTGCAGAGCATCTAAACATTTAATTATATACTTATGGGGGAAGGTAAGATGAAATGATGCCTTAAATGAAATGTTTCTGCGTGAATAATTCTTAGTTTATTAGTTGGGAATCAGATTCTCTTTATAAGAGAACTTAATATGGAATTGTTCTAGGTGCTAAATGAAACAAAATGGAAATGTCAATTCATTCAACCATTTGTTAAAGTCTTTATATAATGTGAAAATTTTAAAATATACTGTATGGGCTGTTGGTGATAATTGTGTGGGATGCTGACGATGTCTATAGCTTCTCTCTTTTCATGTTTACTTTGATAATTACTATTTTCTCCATGTCATAACAACCTGATTTCCACATATTAAGAATTTGGTTTGGTATAGTTATAAGGGATTTATATAGTAAAGCGGCCTGGATTGATGGTTTAAAATAACCTATATATCTTTACATTGGCATAATTAGATAATATTTAATGTTGCATTGTACTGTAGAGTGATTTACGTTTTGAAACAAAAATAGTTATGTCTTGGAATGGTGTAGTATGAGTCACTCTACTTCATGTTTGGAGTCGACCTATGTATGTTTTGGATTTCCTCGTTACTTTTTATTGCCTTTTGATTCCGTAGCTGCCATGATTATCAGCCCTAGTCACACTGAGTTTATTATCTCCTGCTTTATATTTGTCTTCATTGTTACGGTTCTTATTTCGGCATAATCACTGAGAGGGGTCCTTTGTAAACAGATTTTGATATATGTTCTGCGCTGCATCAAGATTTGAACTTCTTTTATGTCTTTGCTGTTGAAATCTATTTTATATAAAATTGATTTGCATCTTCGTACCCACTGATCTCAACTTTCTCTTCATTCAGATTTCCATTTTAGGGATGTTTTCTGCTGTTTTGTTATCTTTTTTGTTCATTGTGGTTTGTTTTTAATGTTGAATTAAATCTTGTTTCTTTTTGGAAATTTGGTAGGGACGGATGATGATCTTCCACCACCTCATCAAAATAGATTTGCAAGAAATGCACGTGTAGCTGGGAATGGGAGGTCTGCAGTTGCTGCCCCTGCTTCATATCCAAGGATGCCAAATAATGACATGGAAACCCAAATCCATATTATTGAACAAGATGCGTATTGCTCAGTTTTGCGGGCCTTCAAGGCTCAATCCGATGCCATTTCTTGGGTACTTTGCTGTTGCTGATTTATAATTATGTTCAGAATCATTATATTCATTTGTCTAAACACATTGTGCTATTTATTAGGAGAAGGAAAGTTTGATAACGGAATTAAGGAAGGAGCTGAGGGTGTCAGATGAGGAACATAGGGAGCTTTTATCAAGGGTGAACAATGATGATATGATCCGTAGAATAAGGTTTGAGATTATTTTTATTATCATAGTCAAACGTGTTTTCAATATAGTTGTTATAATTGATGATGATGATGATGCTGTCTATTGACAAAAACCATTTATATTAACTTTCGCAGGGAGTGGAGAACGGCAAATGGGCAACCAGGCATGCTTAGCTCTTCGCAACCTGTTCACGAATCTGTACCTAGTCCAACTGTTTCAGCCTCGCGTAAGAAACAGAAAACAGGACAGTCAGTGTCGGGATTATCTGTTGGTGCACCATCTCCGACCTTGCATCCTAATATGCAACCATCTTCTTCGAATTTGAAACGAGGCCCACCTCCAGGATCACGACCCAAAAAGACAAAACCAGTAAGTTTTTGGAATCACAAATTTTGATGAATAGACAATTTATCACGTGCTACTGTATCTGCTAGGTCTGCAATGTGGTGTTCTGTAGTTGCTAAATGCTGACAGGTTGAAAAGTAGAGGTGGCTTTGCTGTAGTGCGGAAATTTTGTTAGTTATAACAGGATAACTTATCATTTGATTGTTACTATATTGGTTTGTTATTTCTTACTAGTTACTAGGCATACTTAATGTGTTTGCACTTATGAACACCTTTTTTTTTTTTTTTTTAATTTTTTTTTTTAATATTTAATTTCAAGTAGATTTACACGGCAATACTCAGAAACTTCCTTGTGTACTACAATTAGTTGTTTGTTTGACTTATCACTCTGTGTTTTACGGTGTTAATTTCCATTACTGATGGAAGCTTGCTGTTCTGCAGACTTTGCCATACCCTTCTCCTGCTCCTCCAGGAAGGCCTCAGGTAGCCAATCGTAGTACATCAGGCAATTTTGCTGCTAATGACCCTTCTGATACTGAGAATTATGGAAAGATCGGGAAAAGAGTATGGACAAGATGGCCGGAAGATAACAATTTCTACGAGGCAATTATAACAGACTTTAAAGAGGTACAGTTTTCTTATTATGAAAATCTCCCCCCCCCCCCCCCCCCCTTCTCCCCTACACACACAAAAGTATGGAGGAAAAAGATAAGCATGTTGCATATAATGATTCTTGAAGACTGACATCCTTCCAAATTTTTTTAGGGCCGGCATGCTTTAGTTTATGATATGAATACGCCAAACGAAGCATGGGAATGGGTCAATCTGAAGGAGGTAATCACACACTCCTCTTTCTGAAGAATATCAATCTAGGGTTTTTAATTGATGGGTGGATCATGCTTTCTGTCTATGAGTTTAGTAGTTTATGCTAGTCATAAATAAAAAGAGAAACATGTGCTGATGGTTGCTATTGTTGTATCTTCAAGTGGCTTTGTTCATTTGTGGTGCTGACGTGCTGTGATGAGTTGGACACGTCTATTTTCCTTGGAATCAATCTTTAGAGTTACATTTTTGTTGCTACTACTATATCACTGTATCTTTTGCTATTCATCCATATACCCCCCCCCCCTGTTTTCCTTCCTTTTTTTTTTTTTGGTACCCACTATATGATACTTCTTTTTAGGTGAGTGTATGGGGTATAAGAAAAAAAAAATGAAGGATACAGTAAGAGAGATAGGAGTAAAGAGGTGGGTGGTGTAAAAATAAGGTGGATAAAATAAGGGAGAGAGTGGAAAGGTTTAATTTAGTGGGTTAAGATGGTAAATAGTGTTTGCCAAGAATAGAATAAAGTAGAACTATAGAATTGGGTAGAACTAAAATAATAAATGATTAAAGAACGAGGGAGTGTTTACTTCTTTCTTTTTTAGATGCCTATATTGGTGACAGACATCCATTGAACAGTAGTGTTTATAGCAGTCAAAATATAGTATCTATCCCGTTAATTTTTTTCTTATTTTCAAAAATAAAAATAATGCTTCTATGAGAGTGACAAGATTTTCCTTTTGTAGGGATTCTTATTTAGAAATAGATGTGATTCTGTTTGATTGTCTCTATAATAATGCTGCTATCATTTGTTTCTTGTCAGTCTCTTGTAGCATGGGTTTTTGAATTAGTATAAGCCAAATTGATTCAATTAATATGGAAAGGAGAAAAACTGTGCTTGGACATTAACTGGGGTTTTTTTTGGACAGCAGGATTAGCATCACCCCATCACATAATTTAGAGCTGAAGGTTGGGAGAGATGGATCTTTTTTTTTTTTTTTTTTTTTTTTCCCCGTTGGAGTTGCAGTTTGGTCATAATATTGTTCGATGCAGTTTAAGATGGATAAATAATCTGATTGATTTGATTAGCATTTTTTTTATGGTGGTTAATTTTTTTAGTTACTAAAATAACTAAACAGGTCCAGCTTCTAAATCTTAAAAGATGGTAAAGATACCCCATCTCCATGCAATGCAGAACATATATGTACTCTGCTTGGTTTATACGAAGTATTTTCTAGTAACCAGTTGAGTTGGCTCCTGAGCATTTGATTTATATTGTGCTCTGATATTTCCATCTGTAGTCCTTGATAAGAGAAGTTGTACATTTATTGTAGGCCTTCATTGCATCTCTTGTGACCAATTCATATTTCCTTTGGCATCTGTTGTAGAAAAATAATATAGTGACTTTGTTTCAGAACTTATGTGATTTAATATGTATCAGATATCCGATGAAGACATCAAGTGGGAGGGTGAGGGTTCTGGAATATCCCATAGAGGAGGTCGAACTGGTCAAGGTCGTGGTTTTAAGAAGTCTTCGGCCCGTGGTGGAGCAGTTGCTGGTGTGGGGAGAGGTCGTGGGACCTTAAAGGGCCAGACCAAGAAGGATTTGCTTATGCCCCAGAATGGTATTGGAAGAAAAGGATTGGGAGATATTGAATTACTTCATACTGATACTCTAATTAAAGAGGTAAGTAAGCTTGTTGAGAGAGGGGGGAGGGGGTCTGTAAGTTTCTAATTTTGTCTTCAGATTGATGGTGTGTTTGATGGAATGATAATGTCTTTGCAGGTGGAGAAAGTTTTTAGTGCTAATCATCCAGACCCAATGGAGGTTGAGAAAGCCAAGAAAGTGTTAAAGGTAATGCCACGCTACCTTTAGTTTTTGTCTGTACATTTGTCTTGATATGGGAGTTTGAATGAATCGTTGTGTTGCAGGAGCATGAACAAGCATTGGTAGAAGCTATTGCTAGGCTTCAGGATGCATCTGATGGTGAAAGTGGTAATGCTTAATTGCCTTCTGTTTGTTGTACAAATTAAAAAGCGTCTGTGCCTTTTTTTTTCCTTTCCATCTTCCCTCTATAATTTAGTTTTGGTAGATCAACTGATGTAAGTTACTTGTACAGAATTCTCTAATCAAGCCTCTGGCTGAAAATGTTACATATTGGCCACCTTTCATCATTTCTGTTCCTATTTTTGAGATCACTTTTTTTGTATCTTAAAATTCTTAATGCTGCTGGCCAATTGTATTACCTGTTCCATTATTTTGGTAAAGTTGTATGTCTATTCAGTGAGAAGTGGATTGTTAGCATAATGTTTGTTATAATTTATTTCAATCAGATGGGGGAGAGCATCCCTTCTCACAAGGACAGTCAATGGATCGAGAGCAAGGATGGAGGAAACGGCAATATGATGAAATGGGAGAAGGTAGGGGAATGGAAGGTCCAGATGGTGATAAAGGCAGAGTTCCCTCAGAAAAGAAGCAAGAAGCTTAGTCTATGTATCTGAATCATTGGCATTTGCCAGATTGTACCATTGTCCATTTAGAATTATAGGTGATCATTAGGGGCAGTAGGTAGTGGGAGGTGTAGATTTTTGTATTAGTACTCTCCAGTTATGTATTTTTAACCAAAAACAATAGAAGTTGGTTCGTGTAAATCTGTCAGATTCGTAAATTTATATAGAATTGTTTTAGTAATGCACATTATTGCCTTAACCAACTTCCAGTAACTGCAATCATAACAAAGAATACTGCAGAAATAAATAGACCATATGTTGTAACATGTAACAATGTTGCCACGTTAGTATGCAATACTCATTATCTGCACATATTACCACCACCATTTTCTGATTCTTATGATTTTGCTGCTATTAGTGCACTGGAAAATCTATCATGTTGATATGAGCACACATAGAGGGAGTTTTACCCACCCGTCACCTATAGAGATTCTGCAAACTTTGCGATTAAATCAACCATCTGAGAATCAAAATCAGGACCTTCCATTTGAAAATGGCTAGCACCTTCAATAAGATGTGTCTCAGCACGCCCTGCAGCTGAGCTTAGCTTATTCTGCAACTGCTTGACACTTGTAAAGCCATCCCGTGTTCCCATAACAAAAAGCTTTGGTTTTGGAGACTGCAAGATAGCCTTATGGTGCCTTCCAAAGAGGATTGATGCCATCAGACCAAATGGATATCCTATGCTCACATAACCTACCACTTGCTCAACCTGATCAACAGCTGAACCTGCAATTGGTGCACCTAATCCAAAAGATGGAACATGCTCAAGAAGCTAACTATCGGTGTATGTCATGATTCAGATGAGCATGCAAAAGCAATTGAACAAATAAGAAAAAGAAAACCAATGAGGCGGCTGAATAACAAGAAGAAAGCATATGCAAAGAGAACTAGGAATGAATGTCAAGTTCCTTTTCATGGAGGAACAAAGTCCCTCAGCTATACATACAGCTTTCTGTCTTTCATTTCAACCTTCTATAACTTCATATATTTCCTCTCTCGTCCCAATTTCAGGTGATCGGGTTGTTTGAAAGGAAGATTAGATGCAAGACAGGGAAAGATGAGATCAAATTATCAAAATGTACTAAATTACCAATGAAATCAGAACCAATCTATAGGAAAGCATATAAAGCTGTTCTAGTTGAGATCATCGACATTAAAAGATTGGGATCCTACAGCCTGTCAAGAAATGGACCTAAGCAGAGATAACCATTCTGTGATATTGCAGCTACTATAAGACTATTTATTGACATGAAATGATCAATTGAATCAAAATTCCGAGTTCAACATAGTTCATAATAGACATGAAACAGATAACCATCTAGGCAGGGCAGCAAGCAGCTTCCACAATGCTTCATATCAATGAATCAAACCAACAAACTTCAGATTTCAATTCAGGTCAAACTTAAATACAAGTAGAAAGCAGGAAACACTAATAATTTCCACACCTCAAAGTAAGCAATTCCTCTGTTTTTTCTCCTGAAAAGGACAACCAAGAATTCCTTTCAAATAGTATGATGATGAATCTAAAAGTCATCCAAATTCCCCATAATTTTTCATTAAAGGTCAAATTCCCATGAATAGATCTGACTTAATTATCAAAACCAAAACAATTCAGACACTTTTTTATGAACTTTTCATGATCAAATTACTCTTCACACCAACATTACACAAGTTCATAACCAAAACATACGGAGTACCATATAATAAGCATAATATAACATCAAATTCAAAAACTGATCTTCCATATAATTACAACAATAAAATCAATAATAATAATAATAATAATAATAATAATAATAATAATAATAATAATAATAATAATAATAATAATAATAATAATAATAATAATAATAATAATAATAATAATAATAATAATAATAATAATAATAATAATAATAATAATAATAATAATAATAATAATAATAATAATAATAATAATAATAATAATAATAATAATAATAATAATAATAATAATAATAATAATAATAATAATAATAATAATAATAATAATAATAATAATAATAATAATAATAATAATAATAATAATAATAATAATAATAATAATAATAATAATAATAATAATAATAATAATAATAATAATAATAATAATAATAATAATAATAATAATAATAATAATAATAATAATAATAATAATAATAATAATAATAATAATAATAATAATAATAATAATAATAATAATAATAATAATAATAATAATAATAATAATAATAATAATAATAATAATAATAATAATAATAATAATAATAATAATAATAATAATAATAATAACAATATTGAACAAGATTAATAGAAATTATACCTGCAGAAGAACCCACCAGCAAAATCCTATTAACAGACAGATTTTCACAAACCCATTTGCAAACAGATATTACATCTTTAACCTCAGCGAACCCAGAAACAGATTTACTACCAGTTGACCTACCAACACCTCTCATATCAAAAGTAACAGCCAAATAACCAGCATTTGCTAACCCAGTTGCCATTCCTCTTAATAAACTTTGACAACCACCCAAAACTGAATATGGATGAACCAAAATAATACCCAAATTTTCATCTTTATTATTATTTATGGGATTAAATATTCTTGATTTTAGATTTACTCCATCACTTCCTTCAATAGTAACTGATTCACTAGACATTTTAGGAGAGAGAAAAATCCCTTTTTGTTTTTGTTTTTGGGAAAGGAAAAGTTTTCAAAGAAAAGGGATTGAGAAATTTAGGACTTTTCTTTGTTTTGTTTGAGTGGAAGAATATTATCAAGGTGATTCAATTTAATTCTAAAACTTTTTCTTCAAAAAATATTTAATTCTAAAACTTTAAATTGGGTCATAAATAATGAAATAAATAAATGTATAGAATATGGTTGGACAGATTTTGGTGATGGGGAAGCCTAAAAGGAAGAAGAGTGAAGGCAATCTTGATTATCTTTCATAGGGGGTTGAGGAGTTTGTCTCTCAAAGGGTAAAATAATTGGTTAGATATGTCCTTTCCATTATTTTTCTTTTTCCTAACCTCTTACTCTTATAGTATGTCCCCTTTAGATTTTTCCTTAGTTATCAAGTTTCTCTATCTGTTCTCTAAAATATATATGAGTAGTATGTCTGGTTAGACGATCTGATAGAGAGTTATATTAATACGTAAATGACAACTAATTAGAGGTGTGCATTATATTTTTGTACACATAAGTGTCATATGCATGATGGAACCATAATCATTGATTCTTTATTTAGATTTCTTTTATAATTGAACAAATTAAAGTACATCCAAGTTTGTATGAACAAATTTGTCGATAAATAGGGGTATTAAGTTTCCACATGTTTCCTTCAAGTCACGATTTAAGATTACATATGCTCATTGGATTAAAGGCAATTGACTAATAACTTCAGATTTAAATTGAGGTTTGCAACTGAATTCTTTTGGATTTCTTTATAGAGTATAAGATACAAAGTAGACCAAGCGTAATGGTTTGTACACAAATAAATAAAGATCTTGAGAAGAACTCCAATTGTTATTAGCCATCCATCACTTCAAATTAGAGGTAGTAGATGGGTTAGTCTATCTTAAACAATAAACAATTCTATTCTTGACATTTATAAAATATTTTTATTTAGGCATTAACCAAATAGGTCCAACTTGATGATCTAAGCGACCCAAACTTTGATTCAATAGCTGGACTTGAAAACAAGTCTATATAAGAGAGTAAGAACTTATGCACACCAATAGTCTAAAATATCACAAGTACATGATAATTTCTACACACATACATTATTAATAATCATACCACAATATTGCAATTTTTTGTACTACATTTGTTTCTTATTATTTGCAATAAAGAGGTATTATTTGTGAGATAAAAAATAATCCTTTGTTTCAAATAATAAGAAACGAAGGTAGTATAATAAATGAAAAGTTATGTAGTTAGCTATGATTAACAAAATTAATATGCAGAGCATAAACTCTTCAATTGATGCAAAAAGTAAATACGGGCCAATTTTCCAATACTCATAAACTCATTTGGGCCAAAATTCCATGACCATATAATAATAATAAAAAAAAAAAAAAAAAAAAAAAAACAAAACAAAAACCATTAAAGTGAAGATACCATAAATATTGAAACTTGCTTATACGAAACTACTCTACAAATGCAAGCATTTCTTTGTTATCTTCCTCTATTCTAACAACTAAAGTCTAATGAAGGCCTTAAACTAGCCCTCCATGTATAAAACAAAGCTAGAATTAAAGGGAACCCAAAATGAACATCACATCTTAAAATGTACAACAAAGGACTACAAACTACAAATACAAACTCAACCATTTTATCTCCTAGGTTTTTTCTTAAATTTTTCACCACCATCTCTACCACCAGATCTTCCACCTTTCGCTGAATCTGGTGTACTACCACTCATCATCGCTGCCTTCCGTTTTGGTGGCCTACCAATCCATTTCCTTGACGCTGCTGCCTCCTTCTCGCCCCTCCTTCCTGAACTCCTCCTTGTTGTATTCACCACCTCTACCTCTTTACTAATATTCTTCTTCAAATTCCCACCTGCCTTTCTAGCATTACTAGTGTTAGTACTTTGGGTTTTTTCTCTTATCCCTCCTTCCTCCTCGTCCTCCTCCGAATCATTATTTTTCACCTTCTCTTGACTAGACGGCGAATTTTGCTTCATCCTCTTCAAAAACTTCGCCACACCTTGTTTCTTCAAAACAGGGGTTGGTGTTCCTTTCTCTTGCTTTTGATCGGCGTTGTTTATCTTCCTCCTTTCCATTACTTCGGCCCTCTCACCCTCGGAGCTCTCCTGTTTATTATCTTTACCAACATTCCCCATTTTCTCCCTTTTATTACCTTCTTTACTAATGATCTTCTTCCCATTGCTATTACTCAACCGCAAGCCTCCATTCCCCAAATTCGATCTCTCTCTCGTAAGCAACTTCTTCAAGTTTTCGTCACCACCACCACCTCCACCCTTGTCGCCATCTTTCTCCTTTTCTTTCTTATTCGAAAGAGAACCGCTGCTGATATTATTACTACCATTAACTCTCTTCTGATTGTGATCGGGCTTTACTTTCTCCTCTCGTCCATTCACCACATTACTACTAATATTATTCTTACTATTAGTAGTACTCGTAGTTTGATTAGTATCCGCCTTCTTCATGCCATCTGACAATGCTTGCATTGAGTTGGAGATTCGTCTCCTGCACACAACCATGGTCGTAGAGGATCTAGGTTTCTTCACCACAGGTTCGAGGTTTTGAGGTTCCAGGTCCGGTTTCCTTGGTTGGACCTTGGGCTTTCGGGTTTTTTGGGCAACTTCGTCCATTACCAACTTCCGAAGTTCCTTGGCTGCTATATGCTCTGCGGTGCTCTTACGGTAAAAGAGTACCGCATTGGTGAATGTAAGGATGAGGTCACGGTAAAATTTGGGATGACAATCGCAGTATATACCCTTATCAAGTCTGGATTGAACTGTATCTAGATCCATGTGTTGGCGGATCACATTCCTGTATTTTTCAGTTTCCTGCAACACCCAAATAGTGTAAGAAAATTTTACTGAAGATAAAATTGTCAGCTAAAGCATTACACTCTATGATACGACTATACGAGCATACACCATCACAAAAGTCGATATTTGAAACAATAATTAGTACGAATCTAACAAAATCTCAAATAACTATTTCTCTTAATTACAAATCACCAAATAGTCAAAAAAAGGATGTGTGAAATTATGAATTGTGTAAAATGCAAAATGTTACCTCTACAAATAAACAGATGACGTATAAATTAAGGGCACGGGGTCTTTGACGTCAATTCAGTGAGATGGGATAGTAGAATCAGCAAGTGGCTAAATTATTCTAGTGTACGGACAAAGGAGCAGCTCAAATGTAACTGGTTGACAATACAGCATAACATCCTCATTTTGCTCCTTTAGCAATTTATTCATTAGTACGGAGTAATAATAAACAATGACAGCATAAATCAAGGACAGCCTGAAATCAGATGCTCCTAAAATTCCAAAATAAAACATTTTATTAATATTAAGTAGTTCAAATCATAATATTGATCATCATTAAGGCTATGAATCCTTCCTTTAATTTTATCTAAACACCGTTCAAATGTAATCTTAGGACTTTGTTTAAGATTAAAATGGCCAAATTAAATAAAATCTTCTATGTGAAAGATCCCTTAGAACAAATAAATATGAAGTATACGTAACTAACAACATTTTTTATTTCTGCCATTAAAGATAATTATAGTTTAGATAGGTTCAATTATATACAACTACTCCGAAAAAAAGGAGTCATTTCAAAATAGAAAAAACATTTATAATGAACTCTAAACAGTATTTTAATGAATAATGATACACGGGTCAAAATCTTCAACATCTTTAAGGTAGCTAACAAAAGAATGATAGAAGGATAAAGCTAGGATTTTTCATTTTCGAAGAATACCGACTCTTGAGAACATGAGGATTAAGTCCTAAGCATTAGACAACTAAGAGTAATGTACTCCATATTTGGTATGCATGCATAGTTTAACGACATAGAGGCATTTTATTATACGTACGTGTAAAAGAAAGGTGCATGAAGATGATATGTTAATGTTCATGTAACTAATGTAAATACTCTAACTAAACGTGCGTGTCACAACACGATACCTACGCCGCCACGCGTATATAATCAGAAGACAAATCAACACCCTTGCTTTTACGTTTAACCCTTTAAAAAAACACCACCAAAGGCATATAAGTATATATTATGTAGTCTACTAGCCTATTCCTATTAGTCAAAATTTAAGGATTTAATAATATTTAATAAACTAATCTAAAAATATCACTAAGTTTATAGTTGGTCAAATTAGAGCTAAATATAAACTTGAAAGAAAAAATATACAAAGGGTGTATCTTTGCCAAAAGTTCATTATAAAAATTGTTTATCTATTCTACTTCATTCAAACTCACTCAACCCATGTAATGGAAACTCCACCACGAACAACGAGTCCACTCACTCTTTATGCGGGGTATACCAATATAATATGGAGGGACAAAGGGCTAACAACTCATATTGGTGAAACTGGTTTCACGTGGATCATCTGAAAGAAATAGCATATTTATGGAATGATACTTCTCGTCAGAGATAAACATTTTCCAATTTATGGTTTCCATTTACAACATGAATAGCGTGCTAATTGTGTCCAACACCCGTAAAAGAAATTCTTCACCTTCTTTTTCTGGTTTAAAATCTTACATCATCCCAAAATAGATAAATTTGTTACCTCTCCTCTCCATCCAAAATTATGGAGTATAAACTATGGAATATTAAAACACTTGAATTGGGTAATTTCTAATTATTACGAAGTACTACGAAAGATGATTACTCCATAGTATTTAATACATAAAAAGTTAAATTTTGATAATCGTGGGACATGCAACTTCAATAATTTCAATAAAGACAAGCCGAGTATCATACATACTTTTTCTAGTCACATTTAAATTAGTTGGGAACGGGAAAATGACCATGCCGAGTACATACATGCTTAATCTAGGCACGTTTAAACTTTAAACTAATTAAAAACCGTAAAAAGAGCATGACAAGCAACATACATTCCTTCTCTAATCACGTTTAAATTAGTTAGAAATGGAAAAAAAAAAAAAAAGTTATATTGGCCCCTTTATTCCCAAATCTCTAGTTTCTCTACACATAAAAGCATATATTAATAACAATTGTTATAATAATAATAAAAATAAAATAAAATTTGGCAATGAACTCGTACGAAACATGAAGGTAAGGGATAAAATAATAAAAATAAAAAATAAAAAAAACACTAAACGAGAAAAACTCCTAATTTGTTAAAAAAATTAATGTATAAATTAAGATATTTATAATTAAAGTTATGTTATTCCATAATATGGACCAAGCTTAAACAAGATACGGGCAATCTAGTCCCTAGATATGAGGAATTGAGGACTTCACCCAAAGGTAAGTATTTACGTAAAGTTTGGGACGTAAAATAGACCGAAACACGCACGTACTATATCGGCTCCACAATATCAATGATAATCATAATAGTACGTCGTCCCAGCTTTTCAAAGAGAAGCACAAAATATAATTAAGGAAAAGGTCAAAGTTTTGAAAGGCCCCACTTACACCTAACGGCTTTCCGTTCATCTTGCCGTTTGCCAAGATTATTTTCACTACTTTTCAGTAAAAAAAAAATAATAATAATAATTTTTTAGTTTGGAACAATTATACTCTTGGTCTCTACTCTCTAGGAGTCTTGGTGAAAACTTATATAGGCATATACTAGAAAAATCCGTTTTTAATACTTATTATACGAAAATATAAAAAGTTTATACAATAAAATTATACACCTATACAAATCAAATATAATCTTACATAAATATGTTTTTTTATTTAGTACAACCACCATTTTTTTATATGGGGCACATTTGTTTTCTAGGATGAAAAGAAATAGTGTTATTTTCATCTGCCCGATTTTTATAAAATTTAAAAAGAATTATAAAAACAAATCAAATTGAGTATCAAATTGAGTACCAAATATGATGATTTATAAGCATAACATTTAAAATTTCAACCTAAAGTTGAAGAGAGTGTCTTGTCTCATACGGAGTAATTTCTCTTTAACAAATACGAATGATTCTTGTTTATATCATTTCTTTTTAAATGAGATTAATATACGTTTTGTTCACCTTATTTTCACTTATTTTAGGTATAATTAATTCAGATAAATTTAGTTCAAAAAAAATAAGTTCTAATAAAGGTTACTCAAGTACAAATTGCAACTAAAATAAGTTCATGAATAAAACACCCTCATTCTATTTTGTTAATTACTTTTATAATTTTTTGATGAGAGAAAAATAGGCAAAGATTAACTAACAAAAGCGAACGAAAGGTGTACTCTAGTACGGAGATATTTTTAAATATTACGTACAAATTTTAATCAAGAGTAAAAAATAAAAATAAAAAAAAAAATATAAAAAATAAAAAGATAAAAAGGAAGGGGACCATGAATCAATTCTTCTAGGCTTCTAACACTATCGTTTAGAGGTGATCATTAGGCGGGCCGGACCGGACCAAAGCTAAAAAATTATGCCCACTTTTCGGACCAGGTTGGGTCAAGCTTTGGGCAAACATTTTTGTGCCCAAACCCGTCCAAAATAGTCGGGATGTGCGGGCTTTTCGGGCCGGTCCTAAAAAATCAACTTAATATGCATAAAAACGCATTCCCAAACCCGCCAAAAAATTTTGCGCAAAATCGGACCGAGCTAACTTTGATCACCTCTACTATCGTTTCATGTTAAAAAGGGCAGAAAGCCCAATCAAAAACTTATTGACAAAAATACCCATGCAAATTCAGGAAATAACACCTATGTCCCCATACTGCTCTTTTGCATGTCCACTACCTTGATGCTGACCTGGCACGAATTAATTTTCTTTTCTCACACTCTTTTCACAAACATCCCCAAGGCCAAAAATTCAATTGTCCCCAACTTCATCAAATCTCACTCGCTTTTTGATACTACGTATTTTAATTTAATGGGTACCAACATGGTGTTTTCTGCGCGATATGAGGTGCAACCGGATGCATAATTATTAGGAGTAATACAAAATACGGAGTACAATAAAAGTTGATATCAACACATTAAAATAGATCTAATAAGATAAGATTTTACGTGAATATTTTTTTATTATATTAATAAGGAAAAAGATATATAAGGGTTGCATATAACGTGACCCTATTAATAAATACTCATCATTTAAAAAAAATCATGTTCGTATAATGTCTTGATTTTTTACAAAATAATAATATAAAAAAGGTAGATTGAGAGTTAAGGGAGGCAGAGAATGTGTGGGAATAGAGAGAAATACAAGAAATAATAAAAACTACATTGTCTATGTAAAAATATGACTATAAATTGTGAAATTATTTAAATAGAAAGAGATTTATCAAACAACAAACAAATTTTTTATTTAAAAAAGGATATTTTGGATTTTAACACCTGACAAAAGGCTGAAAATGGTTTTTAACACCCCCCAAAAAAAAACTTTTATTTTAACACCTCCCAAAAATATAAAAGTTGGAAGTTAACACCAGTTAACGATTTCCGTCACGGAAATTTAACGTGGGTCCCATAAATTGGCTTCAACTCTCCTTCGTTTTCAATTTTTTACGAAACCCACCTTCGTGGCTGCCATCCCATTTTTTCTTCTTATTCCTCCCTTCATCTTTTCTTCGTCTTCTTCCTCCCTTCATCTTCATGGCTGCCATCCCAAACTCTTTCCTTCGTTCTTGCCCACCCTCCCCTCAACTGCCACCCCTTCCCTCCCCCCTCCCTTTCCCCCACCCCTACGCTGCCAACCGAACCCACCCCCCTTCCCTTTCCCCGTTCTCGCAACCAAATCAGCTCCTCTCCAAATACCAGCCCACAATCGCAACCCCTGCAGCCACCTCCTCACTCAAACCGCAAAAAATCAATTCCCAACATCAATTCCCGAAATCAGAGCAAATCGCAGATCCATCGAACCTCGTCTAGAAATCAATTTAAGTTTGCCGAAAAAAGTTACGGTGTGGTGGTTTAGGGGTTAGGGTGGCCGAAAAGGTTAAGGCGGGTCGATTCGTTAGGGTTTGGAGCAAAGTGTTGCAGAAGAGTGGTGGTGGTTGCGGCGATTCAGATCTTTGATTGTGGTTTCGGTGTGGTGGCTTGGGTCGGGGCAGCAGGGGAAAAGGGAGAGGGTTGGGTTGCGTTTGTGGGGAAAAGGGGTGGGATGGGTTCGCCGGTCGTCGGTCGGGGGAGGGAGCTGGGTGGCTAACGGGATGGGGCAAGGTTGGTTTCTTGGGTGGTTGATTTAATTTTGGTGGCCGGTCCCCAGTTAACATGTTTGCTGGCTGCGAAGGCTTGGTCAGTAGCCGTACAGGGCCCTTTATGGGCGGCGGAATTGGTGGTAAAAAAAATGGAAGTTCTCAGTCGCTTTGTTCTCCAACGAAGGAGAAGATGAACCGGTGTTGAATTTTTATTTATTTTTTGTATGGTTTGATTTATGAGCACCAAAAATCTGTAAATCTGTAAATTATGAGCACCAAAAATCTGTAATGGATAAAATCAATGAAATGAAGGTTCAGAGAGGAAGTTTCGTGTTTTGCTGGGTGAAAATTGAAGTTGAAGCCAATTTGTGGGACCCACGTTAAATTTCCGTGACGGAAATCGTTAACTGGTGTTAACTTCCAACTTTTATATTTTTGGGAGGTGTTAAAATAAAAGTTTTTTTTTGGGGGGTGTTAAAAACCATTTTCAGCCTTTTGTCAGGTGTTAAAATCCAAAATATCCTTTAAAAAACTAAATAATGGAGGGTTAAACTGTATAAGGCTATCTCATAAGACCTCCTAAATACAACCTACCCCACCATTTTGCCTTTACTAGACTTCGAACCCAAGACCTCGAACTCGAGAGGAGAATCTATAGCCACTAGAACTCGGCTCACTTGTACAAGCCTTCAATCGAGGGATCATTACGAAGGACACAGTGCAAGACATGTACGGAGCAATATTATTATGTTACTTCCTCCTATTTAATTTTAGTTATTTCTCTATTTCTTGGAGGATATTTCGATTATTTTTTCGGTTGATTTAAAATAATTGTATATACTTCTATTTTCCTAATTAATAAAATTTCATGGTTTAAATTACAAGCATACTCTCACTTGTTGTCTATTCTCTTTTATTCTTTGACTTATTAGGTCGGGAATTAAAAAAAATTAAAAACTTTAAAAAATTTATCTCTTATTTCTCTTTTATTTTAGTTTATCCTTGAATATAATTGTAATTAAACACTCTAAAAAAACACTTCATATGTGACACAAGCAAACATTCCGTAGAAGAAAGAGGAATATAACAAAGAAGTTAAATCGAGAAAGAATGATGGAAGAATAATAATTTACCTTAGAGGCTTAGAGTGAGAGACTCATACCCCACTACTTGGGTCTAAAGGTCGGAAATTAATCAAATAATACTAATAATAGTTGCTCAAAATCAAAACAAATGTCATTTAATATTTTTAAAAAACAATCTTCTACCACGTAATAATTTAGGACGCCCAAAATACTCCCGACACAATACATGTAATAATTACTATCAACGGATAGGATAAAATTATACACTTATATTTATACACTCAAAATTTATACTAGCATAAGATAAAATTAATATATAGATTAATTTAAAACTCGTATCATCCATGCAAATCATAATCATTTTGCAAATTTTTATTTTATACAGAGTATCTTGTTATTATAACACCTACTTCTAATTTGACACAATTGCCCTCAAATTTTATTGAAAAGACCTCGGTGTGAAGTGTAACCGGAGTTTGTAACATTAGTCACGATATTAGTTAAACTAAAACCTACAACTCGTATTAATCTCATTGATCCAAAAACAATTAAATAAAATTACTACATGTAATGATTATTGCCATATAATTCAAAATTTGTTGTCGTAATGGTTATTTATAGTACTCCATACTATTTAAAAAAATTACCGCAGTAAAGTAAAATATGGAGTAATAAAATTTACCTGACTAGGAAGCCGACGTTGGAAAACAGAGCCATGTTTATGAGACCGGAGGCTCTCCAAGAACCGAATCAACGGTTGAGATTTCGCATTGATCCGCTTATTAGCGGGCGAAAGCTCCTCAGCCTCCAATTCGTCACCGTTATCCCCCCTAAAACGACGTCGTTTCTTCTTCGACAAGCTAGCGGAACTCTGAACATCACTGCTTTGCTGCCTTGTGCTTTCCCTCCTCGACTCCGACAACGATTCACTAAGCCGGTTCACTTTCCTATTATTATCGCCAACAACCGGTTCACTCCTCTTCCTCTCCACCCGAACCGCCCCCGGTTCACCTCGTGCCGAATCACTCACAGGTTTTATATTGTCGGTTTTTGGGTGGTTCGTCGAGTTTGATGAACGATTCTCCGCCGAGTCAGCGGTTATAACCTTCTCGACCGAAGATTTTTCCGGTTCATCACCTTTTTCTCCGGTTTCGGCCGCATTTTCTTCCGGTTTAATCCTCAGATCTGATAATAATATTGTTTTTTCTTCTTCTTCATCATCATCTTGTTGTTGTTCATCCACATCTTCTGCCTTTACTTTACTGCTTTCTCTCTCCTCCTCTAATCTCTTCACCTTCAATTGCAACGACCTGTTCTCACCATTAATATTAACTAATCAGATCTCAATCCAAAAAATTAAAATTAAAATTTTTTAAAAAAATCATAGATCGGAATAATAATAAAATAAATTAAAATTAATAAATCTAATTACACGATCGAAACGTCGTGCCGATGAACCTCGCGCTTCAACTCCTCGACTCGAAGCTTCCGTAACTCATCCACCATACGCACAAGGTGTTCCTCGCCGCCTTCCTCCACCTCCACCGCCGTCTCCGCCGTCTCCGCCGCCTCCTCAAACCGCCGCTTCAAGTGAACGTACTTTTTCCGGCAGTTTCCCGACGAAAACGAACAATCAACTGTACCTTCACCGCCACCTCCTCCGCCTCCTTCGACGGCGTTGTTATCGGCGTCGTTAACGACGTCGTTTTTATCGTTGTTGTTGAGAGAAGAGTGTTTGATACGTTTCTGGAGTTCTGTAGAAATGGAGTCCCAGCTATTGAATCCATGGCGGTTGACGGCACACACTAACAAAAGCTCTTCCAATGTTCCCCATGCTTGTTCTTCTTCTTCCTCTTTTTCTCTTCTCTCCATCTCTCCATTATTCGACGACGTCGTTTCTTCTTCCTTCTCCTCCATAATATTATTACTAAATCTTAAATCTCTCTCTTCCTCTTATACAATATATTAATAATAATCTTATCTAATTGTTTGTTTTCATTTCTAATTTCATTTAATTAGGGTTTTAACGCGGATAAACTAAAATAAAATAACGGGTTTAAATAATAAATTTTAGATTGAATTATTTATCAAATTTAAATTTGGTGATATGATGAAAATACGAGTGTTTGTTTAGGTAACGCCTTCGCGGCTAGTATTTTCGGGTTAGGAGGCGGGGGTGTTATGTTGGGGGAGACTTTTTGATTGTGTGAGAAAACAACCAAGTATGTGCTCGCAATTCTTTCTTTTATACGGGTGTTGTTTTTTTTTTTTTAAGGGTGTGATTGTAATTACGGTTTTACCCTATTGTGTGATTATAATTGCAACTTCTTTGTTGTAAATATCCAATGTTTTTCTTTCTATGCGTTGATGAAATGCAATATAGTCCACTTGACTATTGGGTTGCATCTCTGCCGTACACCTCAGCATTTGGCCCTACTTTGTTATTGATGAGTTCATCTTTGTCCGTTTAAAATATATATTTTTTTTTATTTTTTATTTTTTATTTTTTTTTAATTTTTATTGGGGATGATTTTGGTGAACAAAGGCCCAATTTCAAAAAAAAGAAAAAAAAAAGAAAAAAAACAGGCCCAATTTCATGAGGTTGGTAGAACACTAGAATGTTTAAGGATGAGATCTCAATACATGGAAGAAACAATATTTAATATAAGTATATGACCTAACTAGGATAGGAGGAAATGAAAATTAAATCTTCCTTCTCTACCATTGAGTTCTCAATACTTGATTCATAAATTAATGTTGCTTTTTTGCTTTTATAAGTTTTAGAAATTCAATTTGTATGGACACGTGTAAATTACGTTTGATCAAAGTTATGAATCAACTTATTTATTATGAATTCTTTTTTCGAAAATTTTGGTGTAAAGCTAGAGTTATAAAGAAAACTTGCGTAAATATGGTTTAATTTTGTGTCTTAACTACTGTTATTCCTTAAAAGTATAACCAACTTATTAAGTTGGCACCCTCATTTATCAATTTCATGTTGATTACTGTAATTCCTCGTGATTGATTTTTTTAATAATAATAATAATAATAATAATAATAATAATAATAATAATTGAATAGAATTACACTCAAATCAATATTGCCTTATATGCTTAAACAAAATATTACAAAAGTTGACCTAAGTTGACTAGTGCTATGGTCTTTCAATCCATATGCTTAGATGGGTCAAAGCAAATTAGCATTAAATTGAGTGTGTTGTTGTGTTTTAAGGTCCAACAATTGTATAGCACTAATATAATTACGTGATATCACATGCTCCGAAATCTTTAGCTTGAATGTGTAGAAAGGTATGATTGTATGAATGATCTGTACAAGGTATCCCTTCATCTATAAAAGTTTATTTTTACGACTTTATTTTAGAGGTAATCACCATATAAATGAGTATAACTGTTGATGGATAGAGACCATAGAGTATTAGAATTGCATAAATTGAACTATTTAATTGATGTTTCTAATGCACCAGCAAATTGAGGTTTAATTAGCCAAAATGAAAATAGTTCAATTATTCAATCAATCAATCAATCCCATAAGTGGGGTCGGCTACATGAACCATAAGAAAAATCGTACTTAATAAACAAGCACTATTTTGCTATTAGGTTCAAGTAGTTAATATTTGTAATTGACTTGTCTTGTGAACATTTTAACGAATGATTGAATGAAATATCAATCATGATTTTAATCATTAGCTTAAGTTTTTGGTTAAATTAGTCCCTTAACATAATACTAGAGTGCTTACCATGAATATGAAGTTTGAGGTTCAAACTGTTAGATTATGTAAATAATCCTGTATATAATTAGCTTGTAATTTACTATTGTATCCTTAGCCCTAACCCTAGTATACGCTTGTATATATAATCTTGTTTAATCAATGAGAAAGGTACGACAAATATTCTCATATTTTCTCATGGTATCCAGAGCTTAGGTTACGATCTGACCTAATTCTCTCTTCCGCTCTTCTCTTCTTCTTTTCTTCTCTTTTTTTCTTCCTTCCTTAACCATGGCCGACTCCTCCAAAATCCATCCTGCGACATTGGTCATGAACATCAAGAAATGCATCCCCATTCTTCTTGATTACGATGGTACTCAAACAACCACCGGTCTACTTTATTTCAATTCCACGCCGCGCAAATTTGGTCATCGACCATATTAAACCTAAAGCTAAACCAGTTGAATCGGCCGCTAAGGAGGACGTACCCGTTGACATGGCCTTCTGGCAACGACTTGACGATATTGTGCGTCAATGGGTTTATGGGGCAATTTCCAATGACCTTCTCAATTCCACCATTGATCTGGATGATAAAAAGGTCGATACGTGGAATCGGTTGGAGAATTTTTTTTCACAATAATAATTCTGGTAGGATTTTGCAACTTGATGCCCAATTCACAAACACGAAGCTTGAACAATTTGATGGTCAAGCCCTATTGTACCCGTCTCAAAATCCTTGTTGATAGTTTGAATAATGTAGGAGATAAAGTCTCCGATAATCGAATGGCTTTGCAATTTTTGAAAGGTATCTCGGAGGAGTATAAACCCTTTCGAACATCCGTTCGTCATCTTACTCCTTTGCCCTCTTTTGATGCCCTCCGATCTATGCTAGAGTTGGAGGAACTGGGGAACGCTGTAATTTGACTCAAGAGTCTCAGGTCGAGGCTCACATCGTGCACACATCTCCTATGGCTTCGCAGCAACACACTAACCACTCCCAAATTTCTTCTAATTCTCGCGGGGGAAATCAGCGTAATAGTGGTCGGAAAAATAAGGGCAAAGGTGGCGCCACCAAGGGGAAGGGTGGCGCCCGACAGCAATAGCGTGGTGGCTCCACACAGCAACAACCCTCGCGTGGTGCACCAGCGCCGCAACAGCCGCATTCTCAGGCAGGTTGGGCGTATCCCCCCTGGGCGTATTGGCAGCAAGGGCCTTGGGCATTGCCCCCCTGTCCATACCCTTCTCAAGGCTCAGGCCCGCAACAATGAGCAGCAACTAGGCCTATGCATTCTCAGTCCGGTGTTCTAGGGCCGAGACCACCTCAAGCTTATTTTGTGAACGATCCGTCTTCTACTTTGGGTTATATGACGACCAACATTGAGCAAGCGATGTATACCATGTCTCTTGCCGACCCGAACTACTACATGGATACCGGTGCTACATCACATATGACAAATTCTCAAGGTATCTTGTCGTCATATTTTCGTTTGAACAAAAATAATAATAATTCTATTATTGTTGGTGATGGTAGTAAGGTTCCAATTCACGATTATGGTCACAAATCCTTGAGCCAAAACACACTTAAACTCGAAACTATCCTACATGTTCCCACAATTGTCAAAAATATCGTCTCATTTAGAAAATTTACTATTGATAATAATGTTTCTATTGAGTTTGATCATTTTGGGTTTTCTGTGAAGGACTTGCAGATGTAATAGCATTGGAAATCTCTATCCTTTCTTCACCGATCGTCAACTCTTTTCAACTTCCATTCTGCCAGCTTTTGCAGTTATTTCTCCTAGTGTGTGGCACTAGGAGAAATGCAATTTTAAGTTCTTTGCGTAGTAGCAATCTCACCAATTGTAATAAGGCTACTAAACACGTTTGTCATTCTTGTCCTTTGGGAAATTTAATGAAATTGCCTTTTTATGATTCCTTGTCTCATACTACTATGCCGTTTGATCTTGTTCATAGTGATTTATGGACATCTCCCGTTCTTAGTTCTCTCGGTCACAAGTATTATGTTCTTTTTCTTGATAATTACACGAATTTTTTATGGACTTTTCCAATCTCATCTAAGTCCCAAGTCTATAGTTTGTTTAATTGTGTTAGAACATATATCAAAACCCAATTTGAGAGAGAAATCAAAGCTTTTCAATTTGAGAATGGTCGTGAGTTCGACAATGATTCTTTCACTAAGTTTTGTCACCAAAATGGAATGACTTTCCGTCTTTCTTGTCCATATACTTCTTCTCAAAATGGCAAGGCTGAAAGAAAAATTAAGACAATCAACAACATCATTCGTACCATTCTATGTCATTCTTCTTTGCTATTATCCTTTTGGCATTATGCCTTAGAAATGGCTACTTATCTTCATAATATCTTGCCCACAAAAATTCTAGTTTACAAATCTCCGACTCAGATTCTTTATCAAAAGCATCCCGACTACTCACATCTTAGAGTATTTGGTTGTTTATGTTATCCTTTCCTTCCCTCTTTTAAAATACATAAACTACAAGCTCGATCGACTCCTTGCGTTTTTCTAGGTTATCCTTCAAACCATCGGGGGTATAAATGTTATGATATGTCAAGTCGGAAAATAATTGTAGCAAGACATGTGTGGTTTGATGAGTCGGTATTTCCGTTTTCTAAAATTCACTCACCCAATGCTCACACCTATGATTTTTTGGGTGATGAAATTCCTCTACTCCATAGCCCTATCTTGCGGCATCACATTGCTACTCAAGGTCAGCCACATGTTGCAGGCCAACCACACGCACACCTCGTACCCACAGCACACCCAGCAGCCGCTGGCGTAAGCAGTGGTGAACGCGAGGAAGCTTCTGCCTAACCAACTCATTTTCCTGCGGGCGCTGGCTCAGTAGATGCTAGCAAGCAGGGCACTCAAGCCTCGCAAGCAGCCTGCGGCGAGAGCTCCCAGCCCGCAAGCACCCTGCGGAGTACGCTGTTCCCTTCTTCCCAGCAGCACTCCCAGCCCCGCATCCCCTGTAATCCCCCGTATTTTTAAATATTTTATAAATGAAATTTATTTTATTTATAATATTTATTTGTATTTTTCCAGAATTTAATTTTCAAATTATTAATTTGGGTCAAAAATTATTTTAGGCTAAATTATTTTATGAACCTATATCTTACAACCCATTATTATAAAAACAAAACCTAACCCATTTGTTTATTTAATTGGCCCATTATTTTCATGAGGTCCAATCCTACCCTGCAATTCTCTCCTATATATACCCCATGAATCCCCAAATTTTCCCTACACAAAAAGGTTAGTCTTATTTTCTTTCTCCTTTATTTCTTATTATTTTCATAAAGCTTATGTAATTAATTTTTGGGTTTTGGTTTTTTTTGCTTGAAATTAGTTTATTTAGTATCAAAATCATGTTATTGATGTTTTAATTTAATAATTGCAGATTATAATTGTTGTTTTAGTTTTCATATTTTGCAATTTTAAAACCTAGGGTTTTAATTTAGTTAAATTGGGATTTTAGGGTTCTAATGATCAATTAATTTGGGACTTTTGTTCCTATTGAATTTCTAATGATTAATTAAGCATAAAAACAAATTTTCAGTTTTTCGCAATCAACTTTGATCTCCGTTCTTAATTTTTTTTAAATCACGTTTAGATTCTAACTCATCCGATTTTTACAAAAAATAGTGTTTTTCGTGTGTAAACGATATTTTAAT